AACCACTAATTAAAAACACTGTTTTATCAAACATGGTATTGTTACAATATGTCATATAATATATATATGCCTGCTACTACCTTGCCTTTTAAGGTTTTAGGTTTTTGCAGAGCCTTCCGATGGCTACAGCATAGGATGTCAACACTTCTGGAAAACACAGGGCCTACAGAGTTCAAAAGTTATTCACAGACACTTTGAAGTTCAGATCGGTCATAAAAAGCTATAAAAAATGGTCAGAGGAAAATAAAGAAAAAGTGACATTTCTCCTGGAGGAGGAGGAAAAAAAATAGCCTCAATATTGTGTTCTCCTACATTTTTTTTCAAGTTGCAGTCACAGAAGTAAGTCAATACCACAACCAGAGGGCAAACCCAGCTATTCTGAGTTTAGACTATTTTCTTCTAAATGCTGTAGTTTTGGCAGGTCATTCATCATCATGTCTAATTCAAATTTGCCACATTTAAATCAACGTTATCTCACTTACTACATGCTACATATTTCTCAACTGACCATAACTCAACAAAATTTCTTGAATTCCTATTCTTAGCATGCAAGGTGATATTACCATTAACTACAAAGGGAACTAAGTCTTATCAATATCCCGAAAAAAAAATGTACAAGTCACTTTCATAGTAAGCGTATCTATAACTATTCAGAACACATTTTAACAAGATGGAGGTCTGTAATCCTTGTTTTTTTTTTTTTTTTTTTTTTTTTTAAATGAGGGATAAGTGACTTTATATGACTCAACCATTTTGAGCTGGTTAACATTTGGTTAAAGACATCTCTTGGTCTCATTTTCCTGGCAAGACTTACCAAAAATTACATTTTATGGTTACTTATTGGCCTTCCAAAGCATAAAGATGACTTAGAATCAAGGAGTCTAAACTCATGCATTAAACTGGCACAAGTTTTCCAACATGAAGAAACAGAACAAGGGAGTTTGCATCTTGATTATTTTATCAAAAGGAACTGAGATATATTTGGGAGCAGAGATTTTTTGCTGCATTACTATTAAAAAAAAATACAAGCTTAGGCCCAGCTAAAGCCACAGAGTTACTTCATCATCTATAGCACAAGTGGACAGAAGTGGCTGAACTAGGATAACTGTAGCCAGAGGTGTACTCACTGATAACCAAGGAAAGAGTACATATATTAACTAATGTGCAATATGCAGTAGAAACTATCTGGTTGCTCTCAGTTGTCATCAGCATTGGGAAGGTAAGATAAAAAATAAATCCTAACATTCTATAGAAATATATGCTAAGGAAAACAACGTACTGTTACAAAAAACATTTATGATACTTTTTCAACAACTATAATAAAATCTAATTCTGTCAGCATTACCTTTGGTGTCTGTCGCATGGTATAAGCAAAAAGAATCACAGAAGAAAAAAGGAGAATTTTGACTTAATAAAATCTCTTGTATTAGTATCTCAAAAGCATTCATAACAAATTAGAAGCCTGCCGTATCAGCAGGTGATGTCATTAGCTTTCAATATGAATAATGAAAAATACTGAGATTATAAGGGAAAAACTGAAATAGAAAAATTAAAAGAACAGCAGAAAACCTATCGGCATCAGGCAAATAAGTGGAAATTGAGTCATTCATCTCATTTGTTCTATAAGAGCAAACGGAGTAGAAGGTTTCTTAAAAAGAATAAAATAAGTCAGTCAATGGTAAGAAATAAAAGGATTCATTAAGAGGATTTTTAATCATGGTTTTAATTTGCCACATGGCAGAAAAGAGATAGAGGCGACAAATGAAGTTTTAAAAGTAAAAGAAATATTTTCTCCTCCTCAGATCCAGTTATTTTTCCTCAAAAGGTAATAAAAACTAAGGTATTTCTCACACGCACTCTGGCACTGAGGGAATCTAGCGAAGACAAACAGAATCAGAAGCAACAAAGGAAGGCCACAGTTGTACAGCCACCTGCTTGAAACAGCAGATTTTTTGCCAAGAGTATCTATTTCTCACTGCAACCCTAGTGCGACACAGTAACCCCTACACGTAGTATTCATTATGAACGAAACTCTGGCCTGCAAGAGCACTTTAAGTGCTGAATGAACAAGAATATTAATGACCTAAGTTTTATACATAGACTAGAGATTTACAGTATTTTGGAAACAAAACAGCACTGATGTGATAAAATGTATACATACGTATATATACACACACAAATATATACACACATATATATGCATATACATATTCGGTCATCTCAAAGATCTAAAGATGAAAAACATGAAAATGGCATCCCTGTTTTTGATGGAAAGTCAAGAGAAACTCGAGAAATTCACCATAATCTGCATGTGCTACAGCAAGTTTGAAAAGAGTAAGACATATGCTTGCTCAAAAAGATTTAGGTCAGCCAAACCCTTTTTCTAAAATGAAACTTTTCCTCTTAGAGTGTGGTTTTGCTATGACAATTGAGTGTGCAATTAAGTACACAATTAAGCAAGTCTTTCTACACATATCTTGCCCAGCCCAAAGATAGCTCACTATAATAACCTCCCCCTTCCAAAAAATATAGCATATACTGTATGTCTCCTCCTTCCAAAGTACAAGAAGGAAGCTGGTTGATTTCTGTTAACACTACTGAGCTAGTGCACTTATGAGTCACTAAATGGAAGAAAACCCCAGGGGATATTTGGGGCTTAACCCTGCTAACATCAGAACACAGGATGATTTTCATACCTGCAACTGAACCTGTGCATGCAGGAGTGTAAGTTTGCTCTGAAAGCTATTGGGAAACACACTGCTGTAAAAGACATAGCTGAGGATCGCTTTTAAAAAAAAAATTAATTTATTCACAGAAGAATACATCTGCCATTGCTAACCATTACTTCACATATGCCAAATTCTGATCAGCATGATTTCAGAGGCATTATCTGACAAAACAAAGAGTCCACAGCTAAGTACTGATTGAAGGCAAAACTTGATGTCAGGCAGGCAGGTATCATTTTTTAGGGAGACGTTAATGCTGCAGATCTTCAGCCCTTGTACCACACACAGATTATAGACAGACACATTAAAATTCAGCTCAACAATTTTCAGCAAAAATTTCCTGACGAGAGATATCTTCAAGTAACAATGCTGGCTGATTTGGTTCAGTTTAGTTTCAATTAAAATAATAAAACCAATCCAAAGATCTTCTCCCAGCAAAACAGGCAACAGTATTGATTCGTTTTTCTCAGACAGAATAGCAGGACATCTGGTTTTTTTCTGATTTTGAAGAGAAACTTTAATTGTGCTGTCACACAGTAAAGGTAAGGTGTCCCTACTACCATGTTATTACTTGTTTTACTATAGGTAGCAGCCAACTAGTTCAGCTCTGATAAAGCAGTGCAGAAGCTTGAATTTTTGTCATCGGCAAGTGTGCTGGACTGGTCAGAGAATCTTCCTTGAAAGGTATTTCTCTCTTTTAAAAAAAGAATTTCCATGGAGTCTGAAACTATTTTCCCTATTTCTAATCAGGAAAAGAAGCTACAGAAGCACTCCACTGTGGATCAAATTCTTTGGTCCCCTTTAATCTGAAACTGAGGATTCCCAGAATCAAACTGCATTATTTTGGTTCCTTTCTTCTCCACACACAGCCAGAAAAAGAATCACAGGATTAAGCAGGTTCTACACTTATTTTGTTTTCTTCTTCCACCACTACCAGAAAATACATACTCTCTCAAAAGAGCATGCCAGGAGCAAAGTGAAATTTAATACACTCATGAAGAACTTCTCCCTTCAATTGTACTAAGATAACTTAAAAATCCTAGACTATTTACCAGAATTTCCTTTTGAAACTTCTCTCCATGTGTTAACTGGATTTAGTCAAGAACAATTATCAAGTGCACTCTGCAGAACTTAAATCAATTTCTCCTGCTTTAAAACATGCATGGAACCTCTACTCTTCACTTCCACAAGTACTGCCTTAAAAAAACAACAACGAAAGAAAAAAAAAACCACACACAATATCGGTAAGTTGTAATAGGTCATATATGTATGTATCTAATGCCTAAAAAACACATTACTAACATAATAACAGAAATGCAAATAGTATTTAAAAATCACCATGCCTCCTGCACTGACTTTCTTGCTACAAGCTTTATGCTTGTTGCACCTGCTCTCACTTCCTGGTTAGTCAGAAATCTCACTCTATTTTAAAGTCAAAGGTACTCACTAAAAGCAAATCGGAGTGATGTGAATTCTTAGAGGCTTACAAACACTTTTAGGCATTTAATAATAGCAAAACATCTTTATAAACAGTCTTTCCCCCAGTGCTTTATCTATTCCTTCATACAAACACTAATAAATCTTGCCCAAAACACTGAACAGCATGCTATGTTTGTAGCCTACACAGAGGAAGAGTTGTGTCCTCAGGTTTTAGCAATATTTGTTATGAAGTATTAAAGTCTTCTAATACTATATTCAAAAAAAAAAGCAGTTAACTACTTAGCTCATTAATTAAAAAAGGCAATTGAAAGTGCTTTTCTTTATTCTCAATAAAGAAAACTACTAGACCAACTAAATGGTTTCCCCCCCCCTAGTACACAGAATATGCAGATTCAAAATAAATAGAAAGCCAAAAGGGAGAAAAATTTACTTTCCTAGAAGAGGGACAAATGATTTATTTTTATGCTTTAAAAAGAAAAAAAATCTTGGTGTCAGTTTGAGTTACTAAAAAACCTTTTTACTGTTAACTATATATGTTGAGTGTTTAAACATAATATTTTTTTCAGTTCTAGCTAAAGCAATTTCCCTAAGGCAAATTAAGGCTGACACTCTTAGAGTTGTTTCAAGTTTAAATGCATAAAGGGAAGCTAATGTGCTTTTTCTTCAGCTTTCTCTGTTTGTAAGTAAAGAGAAGCTAGCTGAAATGTAGTATTGTGAAAGTGCAAACATGCAGAAAAATACTCTTAAAGACAGGAAAAGAGAGTGAAAAAGCATAGTATTCTTTTGCACATGTACGCTATTCTTATCCCGTGCCCCTAAAGGCAATCCACTCACCAGATTAAACACAGTCTCGACTATGTCTCTGTTGGATACTTCACCGTCTTCCACCAGTCTTGTCAGCACAGCAAATTTCATCCGGATGCCTCGGATGGGGATTCCTGGATTCAGAGGCTGCAGCACGCTTCCCCCTCCAGCAGTATTTCCTTCTTCTCCTGCTCCTCCTCCTCCATCACCTGTTGGCTGAACAACTTGTTTGCCTTCGCTCGCCATGGCGAGCGCAGCTCAGGTCACCACCGGGAACGCCGGAGGCGCCGCCGCAGCCCCGGGGGCAGCCCC